GCATCCCTGACCTCTGACCTCTTTCCACCAGCCCCTTCAGAAGTGTGTGAGCGTGCAGAGACCAGGAAGGATGACAGGCGTCAGGAGGGGGTGCTCAGGATGACTACCCAGCTGGCTGTGAGCCCTTGATGTAGGGGTTCCCCCAGTTCCTTGACATAAGCTTTGAGCCCCAAATATTACGAGGGGAGCTGGGGTCATTGCTGCCTCTCCACACTCAAGACTCCCTCAACTCCATCTTCACTGTGATGGGCAGGGCGAGGGTTGGCACTGGGGGTGACCGGGCCTGGATATGGGGAAGGAGTGGGTGCTCAGGTGGGCACAGGAGACCCCCAGGGTGGAGTGAAATGTCTTCACATGACTCTTGTACCCAAGTCTCTCCAACTCCCCCCAAATGAGGGGCTGTGTAGCACTACAAGAGGGGACTGGTCAGTAGTTCTCCTTATCACCCCTCAGGCCATCTTTGAAGAGGACTAAATCCCAGGGTTCTTCAGGAAGAGCACTTGCAAGCTCTGTGGGAAGTGGAAGTGGCCCAGGCTGCTCCAGTGATGGTGGCGCTGAGACCATGAGGCCCCTTCTCTGCATCTGTCCTGAGACCACAGAACTGTGGGGCAGAGGGACAGGCGGGCTGCCTTCCTGGCCCATGGAGGCAAAGGCCAAGGGACCATGCGCTGGGAGGCTGAGAACCAGTGAGTGCCTTGGCTGCAGGCTGAGGAGACCAGTGACTGTGTCCTTACTGTGTTTGGATCCTGCCTTGCAGTAACCTACAGACTTCCCTATAAACGCCCTTCATTGTGACTATTGCCCATGAGTTCTGCGCGGCCAGTGCCGCGCATTAAGGAACCCAGCACAGATGTGGAGTGGCCGGGGAGGTACGGCTGGTGTCTGGATCGGTCACGAAGGATGGAGTGTGGAGGCTTGTCTGACCTGACTGGTGCCCGAGGCTGTAGAGCTTCATGGGAACCCTGGAGGCGTAGGGGTAACGCATTGCTCCGTGGGCTTTCTGCTCCTGTAAAGTGTTCCAGTCTCAGAAACTCCGAAGGGACAGTGCCACTCTGCCCTATAGGGTCATTAAGATTGGCATGGACTCGACGGCAGTAAGATCTTCAGCAGAGCATTGCCTGATTACCACAACCCCCTGTCCCGTGAGTCCCTGCGGCAGCCTCCTGTGTGAGGGCTGGGCCTGAGAAGGGTGCCAGCAAAGGGCTCCAGGAAACAGAAACGGAGCTCCGGCCTTGCTCTGTGAACTGTGTCCACTGCGAAGGGCCTTTCCTTGCAGTGGCTACCAGGTGCCTTGGGACAGGCACAGCAGGACCTGGAAGGCTTTCTGGCCACCACAGTCCCTGTGACCTTATGGTCTGGGCACCCTGGCCTTCTATCAGGGTGACCCTGATAGCCACCATGCAGCTTGGACATCTGAGCCACTGGGTGCCCAGGGAAGGGTGTCCACAAGTGCATGTCTGGTTGTCACTGGGGGACCCAGCTGACAAGGGGCTGAGGTGCAGGCCCCTCCTGTTAGGTCTCAGGCAAGCCCTCGGCCTGGTGGTCAGGGCCTCAAGTGACCTCCACCTCCAGCCGCACTCGAGGCCCCCAGCTGCTGGTGCCCCCCTACCAAGTGCACAGTGTGCCAGTGGGCAAGCTTGGCCTGGGCCTACCTGTGAATAAATTAGCTTGAAACATGATGGCTTCAAACACCCATGTACCAGGTCCCTCGGGGTGAGACTCGGGAACGTGGGTGCAGCTCCCTGGGTGGGGCGGGCTTGGGTCTCTTCTCGCAAGACCAGGTGGAGGCCAAACTGGGTCTGGAACACACCCTCCTGAGAACGGGACGGGCGCGTGTGCGTGTGTCTGAAGGCTCTTGGAACTGGTGGAGTCTCCGGGGCAGGAGGCCTCTGGTCCACAGACCGTGGGCCGCCTGGAGGAAGAGGCCGGCCGGCTTCCTAGAGGGGCCGGTGTGAGAAACAGAAGTGGAGACAGAGACAGAGGGACACACACACACACACACACACACAGCCTGAGACCTCAGAGTTAGGTTGAGAGATGGAGATCAAAGGCAAAGAGAAGGAGAGAAAGACCCTCTCTCTCTCTCTCAGGGACTGAGGAAGGCCCCACAGAGACAGCAACTGGAGCGCACCAGATAGGGAGGGTGATACAAGCAGACATACAGAGACAGAGGGACAAGAGGGACAGTTTGCCCTGGTTACAGCCTTGAGATGAGCCATCCTCTCTGTGGGACTCTACTGGCTACTTAGCCAGCCCTGGAACATTCCCAAATGTGACCATCATGACAGAGCCTTGGAGGAGTCTGGGGGTTCTGACCCCAGGCTCCTATCCATCTCTGGGGACCCTGAGGAGGGGAGCTGCCTCTGGGGCTCCAGAAAGCAGCCACAAAGCCTCAGAACATTCTAGGCTCAGCAAAGGGAGGCATGCCTGGAACCAGGCCTCTCTCTCGGGCCAGCCTCTGAGTCTTGGGCCGGTGGAGCGAGGCAGCAGAGCCCAGGAGAACTGGCCTGGGGGGATGGACATGGAGCGCACCCAGTGTTCACCGCTGCCCCAGACCTGCCCTCAGCACCTGCAGTTTAAGGAGCCTGTCCCTTGTCTCCTGTCCCCATCTGTATCCTGATGTCATCTCAGTCCCTAGCAGTCCCAGACACACAAAGCTCGGTACCCAAAGATCCAGACCACAGATAGACAGTGTAGTGATGTGCATCCTAGCCAGGCACTCGGCGAGGACTGAATGTGACTGACTCAGCAGGGGCTGGTCTACCTGCCTACCCCTGGCGGAAGAGCAGGTGATGAAGTTCCAGCCCTCCAGCCACTCCGCGGGAGGAAGATGACGCTCTCTGCTCCCTTACAGATTTACAGCTTCAGAACCCACAGGGGCAGCGCTCCTCTGTCCTATTGGGTCACTAGGAGCCAGAACCGACTGGATGGCAGTGGAGAGCCCCACCCCCACCCCCACCATCCAGACCTCTGCCCATGCCAACTGACAACCACCCCTCCCACCCCTATGCCTGGGGAAAGACTGCTCATCTATTATTCACCAGAAGTGTCTGCCAAACAAAAGCCAAGCTAAAAATAGCTGAGGGGAGCCAGCTGGAGGGAGGGACCCAAGCCCAGTCACCCCTCCTCCCTCGGAAGCAGGACACACACACACACACAAAACCAAACTCTGCTGCTGAGTGGCTTGCCAACTCACAGCGACCCTGTATGACAGGGTAGAACTGCCTCGGCGGGTTTCGGTGTCTGTCGCTCTCAGATGGATGTAGAAGTGCCATCTTTCCCCGATGAGGCAGGGAGCAGGGCAGAAAATACGAAGAAGAATCCGGTGGGGAGAGCATGAAGAGACCACGGCTGCTGAAGGGGCTGCAGCGTCTCATTTGGGGATAACTTCCCCACTGAAAAAGCACTTCGGAGGGGTCAGCCCAGGGTTCCGTACCAGCTCAGCCCCTGGGACAACCGGGTCCCTGGCAGGCTGGGCAGACCCTGGCTGGGCTTGGCCTGGGCAGTCTGTAAGGACCAAACCAGAAAGACCTCGTTGGCAAAGACCAGTGGACTGAGGCACTGGAGGCCCCTGGGGGTGATGTCCTCAGAGCCTGAGAGGTTTCTGGAGAGCAGAGTGGCGTCCTCCCTCTAAAGACCCCTTGGGTCTAATTAGAACTGAAGAGAACAGATTACAGGAGACAGGACTTCAGGCAGGAGGGGACAGGAGGCCAGGGTCTCTGGTCAGAGAGCTCTCTGCTCTCTTCCTGGGAACGGAAGAACACAAGAGCGTGCTGCCCACAAGACACAGCTGGAGTCTCGGTGGCCGGCTGGCCTTCTCACCTGGCCAGGTGGGGCCATTCTCCTTTCTCTGCAGGAGGTTCAAAGCCTGGCTCTGAGTGCCTGACCACCCCACCCCCACCCCCCACCCCCACCCCCTACACACACTCAGCTTCTCCCAGACCAAGGATTCACATGCGAAGCCCCAGGCCCTGCCTGAACTGTGCCCCCCAGCCAGAGCTCCCAGCTAGTGTCCCCTCGCAGAAACCCCACCCACACTTTCCCCTCAGGCTGTCCTGCCTGTGGCCCAGTGGCGGGCCCCCTCGAGGGCTGCTGACCAGATTGTGGCAGTAGGACAACTGGCCAACATGGCAGAGGTCGGAAGGGGCGCTGACCCAGCCTCTGCGTCCTGGAAGGTGGGGCAAGGCAGCAGGGGGAAGGAGCGCTGCCCTGGAGGAATTGAAGTGGGTCTCAATGTTCACAGCAGTGCTCTAGG